GTAGCAAATTCTTGAAACGAAGAATATTTCTTGCATGATAATTTTGCGTAAAAAGGATTCGTGAGCATGTATTGATAGAGGAAAAAGCGTATACATCTAATTTTAGTGCTATCTAAATTTAAATACAAAATGAGAAAGCGATATTTATAATATGCGAATGGCTGAAATATAATATTTTATATGTATATAATTATATATATATATTATATACATTTTATATGTATATAATATGTATATAATTTATATATCTATATGAAATTTATATATGTATAAACTAAATATATACAATATAATATTTCATATATATATAATTTGTATACATGTGAAATTTACATATGTATAAACGTTCAGATCAGAATTTATTTTAATTTAAAAGATTTATAAATAATTTCATTTTCTCGAATTACTTTCGCGTTTTATTTTGCACGAAATTAGCGAACAGTTTATTTATTAATTTTTGGATAAAATTAATAAATTAATAACTTTAATAAAATTAATAAAATTAATTTACGTGAATAATATCAATAATTTGAAATCAAAGCAATTTATGTCCATTCGCAGAATGATATTGGCTACTCTAGTTCGATAATATATTGCGCTATGAAGGATTTTATGATGAGAATCGCTTGTGTGCTAATAATTTGAAATATATTCCATATAATGGACTGATAATGATTAGGGTCTTTATTAATTTTCAATTTATTTTCATTTTATTTGTTCTATTGAAAGAAGAAAGATATAAATTTTCCACGAAGCATAAGACGGTAAATATTTATGGAATAGATAGATATGACTTTTATCAATTTCTTAGAAAAATTTAAGATTCTCTCAGCTCAACTGCCACTCGTATAAATATTTTACACGCATTATTAATTTATCATGCTCACATTAATTATATTACATACAAATATACATATAGATATATGCTACTTATAAATATATATATATATGTACAGTTTATATATATTTTAAATTAAAAAGTAATACAAGCACATCAATGTTTTTGATTTATATAATATGAGTCTTAGTATTCTTTCTTTTTCATCTTTTTTATTTTCTATATGCGAAGTGGACAAATTAATTCTTGCAAATTTCATGCAATTGTGAGGACAAAAATATTTAACACATTTTGCTGAAGATTATATATTTCAAAGTAAATGCATTTTATAATTTTTTAACTAAATAATATATATAAACATCCATTTATGTATACTTGTATCAAAAATTTCTATAGTTACTTTTATAATTTTATATTGTTGGTTTTTATTAGCATTTTATTTTGTATAATTCGTTATTCAATATTTGTTCTGGAAAAACTGTTTTAAACTGTTTTAAATAAATCCTTCCATCGTGAACCTTCTGGGTAAGACCATCGTACAATACATTTATCTTTAAGCTTAGTTGAAAATCCAGCACGTTTAGGCAGGACGAAATGAAAATTGCTCACGTGTACAGGATTTTCAAAATATCCATGCTGATGACTTACATATTCCATCTTAGCATTATGATTCCCCAAGCAGATGAAGCTCCATATTTGAAGATGCTGATTCATTTCGCCTAAGCCTATTCCACCAGCATGTCCCCATACAGGTACTATAAACAAAAGAAATTGCGTTTCACTAGATGAAAATTGCCTCCGAAAAGCTACTTTCTGAAGTATATTAGAATTTAAAAGATATAATTATTATTAATCGCGAACTTACTGTTATGTTTTTTTGCCATTAAACATACAACTAGGGCTTCGTTAACTCCGCCGAGTCTCCCTACGTTGAGATTCCAGTAATTGATCGCGGCATTTTTCAAGAACTGCTTGAACTGGACACGGTTTGCGCATATTTCACCGCAGGTCACTTCAACTTTGTATATTAATCGATAATTTAACTCATCGCGCATCTCGGTATACGCTAAAAAATCATCGGGAGATGACGGATCTTCGATACCAAAAATCCGATAGTGTGCCAAACGTTTCGCAACATGTTCCACTTCGTCCTGATCCCAGAATTGACTCGCGTCTATTATTATTTTCTTCTTCTTGCCCAATACATGGCGTAACAGAATGCATCTCTGACAGCTTTCAGAAATCGTGTTACCCACAAACGTCTTGTATTCCTTAAAACGGAGTTTTTGGAATTTCTTAGAGGCACTTCTCATCTGTTGATTGCTATAATTCCACCATCCGATATCAGCGGTATATGCTGGATATCCTTTTGTCAGTAGATGCTTCTCGTATTGCTCTTTATATGGCAATTGCTCTTTAAGTATTTTTATTGCTTCCTCCTCGGTTATCACGTCTCTACTGTACATATAAAAGAACAAATATTTTAAATATAAAATGAAATACAAAATCTTTTATACGCATATTACGCATATTTTGTGTATTTCTAAAATTCAAAAGCTTAATATTTAAAAGAATTGTGAATATAAAATAAAACAAAAAAATGGCTATTTTATACTTCTAATAAAATCCGAAAGCTTCACATTTAAAAAGATATTAAATATAACGAAAAATAAAAAATTGTTACCTTATATCTCTAATAAAACTCGAAAGCTCTTAACATTTAAAAGAATTTCGAATATAAAATAAAACAAAAAATCGTTACTTTATACCTCTAATAAAGCTCGAAAGCTTTTAATATTTAAAAGAATTTTGAATATAAAATAAAATAAAAAACTATATAAGTCTAATAAAATTGTACTCTAATAAATTAAAATTATACTCTAATAATATAAAATTATATCTTTAATGAAATTTAAAAGAAAGTTTAATATTTAAAAAAACTTTTAATATAAAATAGAATTAAAAATTACTTTACATAGATTCTTTCAATGAAAATCTTTCAAATATTAATTTCGTTACAGATATAAAAAGCTACTACATAACAAAGCTATATAACATTTTGGCTTACATATATTTAAACTCCATCGTGGAAACGAGCTGTTCAGGCGACATGTCTGTGAGCAACTTCCAAAGAGGTTTATCCTCTATACGTGCCCACAAGTCCCACAATGCGTTCACGATAGCTGCTGTGGCTAAATGTACCACACCGCACTCTGGCCCGATCTAAAATATCCGAATTATATTCAAGAAATTAATACTTTAATTAATACAATTGATATTCACGTGCCATTTTATTACCCATCGATATTGCACGTCATTCGTTAACTTTCTCCAAAATGACGCAAAATCAGAGTAGATCTCTGTTGTCGTTTGTCCCTTCACGTGATCTTCGAACATGAGCTTGCACGCTAACACCACTACAATAGTTATTATTAATAAGGAACAACGAGAAAGATAGAAAGACAGCTAATTATTATTAATACACATACCAAATTCATTTCCTCTTCCTAAAGTCGCTGTAATGCCATATCCTTTAAACTGCGTGTTAGTGTGGATTATTACATATGTGCAAGCATGATTGGGTTTGCCATGCTATTAGAAAAAGTTAATTATGATAAACGTCATTCTATACGATAATAAAAATCGAATTATGCGTTTAAAATCTTTATTTTCTTGATGTTAAATAATAAAATAATAAAAAAATTAATACATCATAATGCGTACCATTGAGTCGCTTCCGAAAGCTCGTGTTGATGTCGGAAAGCTTACATTATGCACTTCAATATCGGTGATTTCTGCGTTTATCATTTTCCTTTATCGTACGAAATATTCGCAAAACTATATTAACGACGGTACGTTATTAAATGATTAATCAAAAAATGTCCTTGTCTTAGAATACAAAATATGTTCTAGAAATATCGTTGGTTATTAGAAATAAATATTTGTGTTTATTAAGAGTGTGTTTATTTGGATCAAGAAGCGAAAAGTATACGATCCGTAAAATTTATTTTGTATATTTTGTATATTTATTTTGTATCATCACATTTAAAGTAGATTTATAAATCATGAATTTATAATATATTATTGCTTTGATTCGAATATTATTATTTCTCTCTCTGCTCTGATACGATGGCAAAAAAAACTAAAAAGATTTTATGTAAAATTATATTGCACTAGAAATGCATTTAAACAATGATATAAATAATTTATTCAATTTGATTACAATAAATAATTTTTACCATAACTCTTTGCAATAATTTTTTGTAGGTTTATAAGATGCCTAAAAATCGTTGATAACATTAAATTGATGACCAATTTAATAACATTTGTTCAGTATTCTAACTTCTACTGCAAGGTTAAACAATAATCAACGTGCAGTTAGACAAATGGAAAATTTATAAAAATTAAAAAAAGACGAATATTAAATTCTTTTTTAATTTGATTTGGGAATCCATATTTATTTTTTAATTGATTACGTATCAATTATTACTTATTTTACAATATTCTTGATATATATTAAACTTAGAATTGTTAATTTAACAGATAAAACTATCTAACTATGATTCCGAAACGGGTGTTTTTCGAATCAATCTATCACCGCTATGCGATGAAACGCCATTTTGTCGGCTCGTCTTTGATTAATTTATCATCAATATATTCTCATCGTCAATATTTTCATCGTATTTCATCATTATTTGCGATATTTTTAAATCTATTGCTCCAATATATTTTGCTATAAATTCAGGCTTGCGATTTTTATAACATTATATACGTTTATCAATATTTTTTGAAAGTTCTAGAATTAATGTTGTGTTTGTATGGATACAAAAGTATTTGAATAATCAATGCAAGTGAGTTTTTAAGACTTTCGAAATCAAGTCGTCATATTCTAAGAACATTTTTTCAAAGATTATCGATTTTTCCCGAAAATTCTAAATTTATTAAAACATTATATGCATATGGAGATGCATCTTCAATAAACAAATTATGGAAACATTGCATAGTAATGGCATCATCATAAACTAATAAAAATTTCGCAATTGCACTAAGATGATTTGTTGCAATATTATCACCATAAAATTTTTTAATTATATTTGTCAAAAATTAGATAAATCCAATTTAATATGAAAATATTTTATATAATTTACTTTCTTTCAAGAACATAATAAACAAGAGAACGATTGCAAATTGACAAAACAAGTCAGAACATGTTATTTGACTATTTTCAAACATTCGATAAACATTTTCAAAAAATTGATTCATATATATTTCAAGAATCATTTATTTAAAATTTAATCATGTTGAAATGTATAATATTTTATATTGCAATATTTCTAATTATATATAGAGGAGAAAATATTATGGCTATCCATTTACATTTCATACAATAATTTTGTTAATAATCGATATTTGAATTAAAAATTTAACGATTATATTCATCAAAGTTTTGTTCAATAGATTTTAGATTCAAAGTTATGAAATATTTATTACATTAAATATTATTTATAAAAATATAGCGATACTGCATAATAGGTCGAAAAGGAACAGAGATGATAATATGGGCCAGTAAAATAAATTTAAAAAATTTATTTTGTTTAAAAAAACAAAATATTTTGTTATAAAAATTATATATTTGTTTAAAATAAATTATTAGACAGAACTATAATATAATTGCGAAGTTTTAATAATATTTCAAAGTTGCGCAAACAATTATTAATATTTAAAGAAAGATCAATATTTCTACATCTCATTTCCATAAATACACCCATATAATTACAGATTATAAATTTCATGCTAAATTTTGTTATATTATTTTATAAATATGTTTTCTTATTTTAAAATGTATACAATATAAGTATACGCTCTCTATTTAGAAACCCTAAAAATCTCTTATTGAATATCGAATCGTCGTACATACGTCGGACGCAAAGTGATTCTTGCATATCTTAAGCATTCGAAAAGTCGTCAAAGTTATCAGGAATACATATTAGGCGAAGAGGTTAAAGAGGTAGGACGAGTAAGGCAGCTCATTCATTCCTCTCTTCCAAGATGTGTTTATCGTCGGACGGTAACGTAGAGCTAAGAATACAGGCGTATACGCGTCTTTCTAGACGCTCGAAAAATCGCCAAGTTAACAAGGAAACACGATGAGCGAAGAAGTAAGCGAGTAGTAGCGTTCATTCTGCCCGCCCACTTGAGCGCACTGATTGGCCGGGGCGTAGCTGATGGGGATGCCTGCTGTATCAGCACGCTGATTGGTCAGAGCGCGTCTAGCAGGGATGGCGGCATCGACGCGCTGATTAGCCGGAGTGCGTCTGGAGGGGTTGGCCGTATCCGCGCGCTGATTGGTGGGGGAGTATATAGGAGGGAGCTACTTAGAAACCTCTTCGCTCAACGTGTTACCCTGTTAACTTGGCGATTATCCGGGAATCTAGAAAGACCCACGTAAACCCTACTGAACTATAATAATACGAAAAAGAGACCAGCCAGTCGAGAAAGAGAGAAAGAGAGAGAGAAATAAAAGAGATTAGTGATGTAAAAAATGTTTGTGTAATATAATATAAAATTCAAATTTTTTTCCACAAATATTGAGTATATCCATGCGGTATTATAAATAACTTATAACTAATGAAATTTTGAAGGAGATTGTATGAAGCATCGTAAGAACGCTTTCTCTCTTTCGAAAAATTGAATATACAGATTTTGTGTATCAATGTGCTTATAGTTCAATGAGAGACGGCTATATTTCTGATTCTTTTTTATCTTCCGTTGGTCTTGAGAAAGCCGATATGATATACTTCTTTAACCTCCTATCCGAATATGTGCTACCGATAACTTCGACGATTTTTCGAAGGCTCGATTGCTCGATTGCTCGAAAGATACTTGACGTACACACGGCGTGTATGTGTGTGTACGGTCTGGTGATATTCCGTTAATTTAGGCTTCCACAGTAAATTGTAATTAAGTATATATTTGATTGACGGTGAATTTCAATGGCTCTACAAGTGGCAGATTGTCTTTTCTGTAAAATTATTAGAAATGAAGAATCTAGTGAAAAAATTTATGAGGTGCAACTTTTAACCTCAAAATATAATTATTTGACAGCTCGATGACACGCATAAAATTTAATGTTCGAATATAGAAATAGGTATATGGTAATATGAACATATTTTTTTACTAGGATGAAGATGTTACGTGTATTAAGGACATTAATCCAGCTTCCACGCATCATTATTTGATATTACCGAATAAACATGTACGCAATGCGAAAACGCTTAAACCAGAAGACTCTGAACTTTGTGAGTACTAGAAAATTACATCAAGTGTCGGTTAATTTTTACTAAATAAATTTATAAGCCTACAACTTATTTATTTGTTACATCAGTTAGCAGAGTGTTTATCAAATATTTCTTATATATGTAATATGTAAGTTTAAAGTCTAAAGTTATCATCAATATAGATTAATTTTAATTTTGATTCAACTTATTTATTGTCTTTTTTTAATAATTAGGAAAGGATAAAAAATAAACTAAGGTTAAGATTCATCTACAATGCTAAAAATGGATATAAAAGTCTTTCTTTTGTTTTTAAAAAATAAAACATGTATATGTATTTCCCAAAAGTATAAATTTGGAATCTATAATTAAATATTGAGTAAATAATCTGATTATTCTTTAATTGTCTGAATTTCAGTTGATAAGATCATTGCTACTGTAGATATTATCTCCGAAAAGTTCGGTCTTGATCCTGCATCTACACGAACAGGATTTCATTGGCCGCCATTTAATACTATTAATCATTTGCATTTACATGTTATCTCGCCAGTAGAGAAAATGAATACTTTGAAAAAAATAATGTTCAGTCACAATACATATTGGTTTGTAAGTGTAAGTATATGAAAGTTTTATAACATTTATTATCTAAAAATTTGGAAAGATAACTTATCATTATATATATTGCTATTTATTTTTTGCAGACAAACTATGTGAAATCTCGCTTGAATAATTCTAAACTATAAAGTATTATAGTTTTATTTATTATTTGTTTTCTGGGTTACTAGTTAAAAATCTTAACATAATTTATAATCAATTTATAATTTATAATCAATGAAGCATTTGGTGTAAACATGGAGATAGAATTATTTATTTAGTATGGGATTTTACAAAGATTATGTTTATTGAAAATTAAGTGAGATGATATTATATTTTTATGTTTATATATTTATGTAAAATTTATGGAAAATATATATATTTTATCAATTATAATTAAAGGATGTACATTTATAAATTGTTTTTATAAGAGAATGGATTCATATGATTTGCTCAAAAAATCTTTAATCATCTTTTTCTTCTATTTCTTCAGTAACCTTGTCTTTCCATTGCTTGCCATTTGGATAAGCGTATTCTAAGATACATTCGTCCTTAAGTTTAGTTGAGTATCCAGGATTCATAGGCGGCATGTAACAAGCATTCTCAATACGAACAGGATCCTCAAAATGTTCGTGTTGTTGATCTACAAATTCTATCATACGATTGTGAGTGGTCTGACTTAAGCAAATATAGTCCCACATTTGAAGATGCTGAATCATCTCACATAAACCCACTCCACCAGCATGAGGACAAACTGGTACTGTAAAAGAGAGAAATAGTCACATTATCTCCATCTCTAATATTTCTATCAAAATGTAAATTAATTTTAATTTCGATTTAATTTATATTTTATCTCCTTTTTTAGTACTAACAATTAGAAGAAGATGTAAAGAGTAAATCTAGATTAAAATTAATCTACATTGATAGAAACTAATATTAGATTCGTCGATAGTTACATCTTGACATATTCAAAAAAATAGATTAAATATAAAAAATTTCATTATTGATTAACTTACTTCCATGTTTGTATGCCATTAAGTATACAGCTAGGATCTCGTTAATCCCGCCCATCCTCGCCGAATCTACCTGACAATAGCTGATTGCTTTGGATTTTAGTAACTGCTTGAACATGACGCGATTCGCGCACATCTCGCCAGTGGCCACTCCGATATTCTGCTTCTGTAACTCTTGGAGTATCGTTGCGTGTCCAAGAATATCATCAGGAGATGTTGGTTCTTCTATCCAAAAGGGTTTAAATCTCGCCAACTCCAGCATCCACTTGATCGCCTCGTCTACGTCCCACACTTGGTTTGCGTCCAACATCAATTTATTCTCGTAGCCTATCACCTTGCGTATTAGTTCACATCTTTTAATGTCATCTTGTAGGTCCCTGCCTACTTTGATTTTGAACGCTGTATAACCAAGGTCCAAGAATTTCTTGCAGAGATCTTCGACTTGCTGGTCGCTGTAACCCAACCATCCAACCTGAGTCGTGTATGCGGGATATCCGTTCTTCAGAAGCTCCTTTTCCTGTTTTTTTCTGAGCTTCATTTTTTTCTCAAGTATTTGTGTCGCTTTAACCTCGTCTATCTCATCTCTCCTGCATGGGAACGTATACACAGAAGTCTATCGTGAACATAAGTACAATGCTTCGGTGCTTCAGTAATACGTAAAATTTCGACTTACACATATCTAAAGTCTATAACAGAACAGAGCTCCTTGGGGCTCATGTCCGAAAGAAGCTTCCAGACAGGCTTTTTCTCGATCCGTCCCCACAGATCCCACAATGCGTTTATAATAGCCGCCATAGCTAGATGTATCACACCTTTCTCTGGACCGACCTAAAACATTCAAAAATAGATATCTTGATGAATGTGACATTTTAATTATTACATCATTCACTATATATTACCCATCTCAATTGCGAATCACTTGATAAACGCCTCCAAAATTTCGCAAAATCATCGTAAATCCATGTTAGTCTTCGATACATTACAATCTTAGCCAAGGCCTTACATGCTTGCACGACTGTAAAAATTATTATTGATGACGAAAAAATGATGTACATCATTACTATATATATTTAGAATATTATTAATACACGTACCGATTTCAGTTCCTCTTCCCAACGTAAATGTGAGGCCATATCCTTTATATTCCTTGTCTGTTTTAATTATTATATACACGCAAGAATAATCAGGATCGGTATGCTGTTATAAGAAAAAGATTAAGACATTGAACTTAATTTCGATAGTTAATCATTAAAAAACGTTAATATTTGAAAAAATGATTAATCCAGGACGCAAATTGAAGTAGTTGTGTCATTTTAAACCAATGAAATATCAACATGTTTGTTTATTTATCTATATATTAATAAAATAGATAATTTGTATACCATTGCATCACTCCCATCATGATTTAATGATGTCGGGAAGCGAATATCTTTCACTTCGATGTCGATAATCTTCGCGTTTATCATTTTCCTAAATTACACTAAATGTTTCTAAAACAGACGATGGTGACAATGCGAAACTGACTGGACAATATTTCTGAAGCGTTACCCTAAGTATATAAACATCGCTTGCTTCTTATCTTCTTACGTAAATATTTGTGTCGTAAGATTTATCATACGATATTCACATAGATACTATATCTGTCTGAAGATAGCTAGAGAAATTATTTTCACGGAGGATTTATTCCATCAAGTGCAGTGTAGATAATTAAAAGTTGATATATAATATTTAAACGTAATGCAACTCTCTATTTAAAAATTTTAATTAAAACTGTTAAATTTAAGCTGCAGCTTCTTTATGTTAGATATGTCTTTTAATTGGATTCTTTTGCATTCATTTAAGAAAAGAAATATTATTTTCACTTGTAACGCTTTTATCAGTTTGACATTGACAAATTTTAAAATAAACAATTATAAAATGAATTGAAAATTTAAATCAAAATCCTGAAAAATATGAAATATAGGAAAAGGAAATTAAAAAAGCTCAATTTATATATGCCTTGTTATACCATATTCTTTTATTTCATTTTATACATAATAATAATAAAAAATAAAATATAAAAAATGTATGTATATGTTATATTTTATTTTACATTGAGAGAAATACAATCGTCATAATTTTTAATATAATTACTAAACGTATTTATATAACACAATATTTATTTTACATATAATATCTACATTAATTAAACTATATATAAACTATTAATTAAACTGTTTTTTTTTAATTTTAATATCTATGGATTTATCCGCAAAGTAATTATCGATTCGAATCCATGTGCTTGAATTAACTAGAAACTTCGAAGCAGCGGCGTCTGCAATGAAGTTTTGTTCATACACGTGTGAATATTCGTTTCATCGATGTGATCAGAATAAAACGCGGAAAGATGATAGATTTAAATCAGAAACCGCTGAATTCGTTCGAGATCATAGTAGGAACGTACGAGCAATATTTACTCGGCTATAAAGTGGACAGCATCGTAAATGTAAGTAATATTTCATTATATATGCTTTATTTATAGGTTAGGTGATATATGTGAATCACAAGAAGTAACACACAATTCTATATATATCAATGAAAGTACACGTCTAGTAATTATGTTTATCGTTTTTTATATTGTTATAATTAATATATTTATCACTTTGTAAAATGATTACTCAAAATGCCTTGAACAAAGAGAGGCATATTTCAATTTAAATCTTTACTTGGCACTTTGTACAAGCTTTTAATTATATAGCTTAGGAAAGCTTTTAAATTAATACATAAGTATTTAAAGATCAACTATATGTTTATTCGAATAATATTAATATGATATAGGTATTTTCAATGAAGGCTAGAGCTTAGATACTTAATTCATCTTTGAATTTATAAGATTGGAAAGCAACATGTTACTTGTAAAAAATAATTATAGTTTTCAATAATAAATTGGTAATAATATTATATCTTTTTTATTAGTAATACAATTAAATTTTTGGAGAAAATATTAACAAGTATCGATTTACCATTAAAAAGAAATAATGTTTCCAAAAGAAATCCTAAAAGAAATATAATCAAAATATATAAATGCAATAAACTCTTCATTACCAACTACATACCATTACGTTTTAGTAGATTTGTAATGCAGTCAAAAGTTTTCTATGAATTATAGATTTTAAATTAATCTTTTGAACATAGATATTTTACATTAAAATTAATTTTGTTATTTGAATACTGCTTAGGAATATAAAATAGAGAAAAGTTTTGCGACTCACAGTCATGTCGCAAGCATACGTAGTGTTGCTAGTAATAAATATTATCTAGCTTCGGCTGGTGCTGATGAAACAGTATGTCTCTATGATATGCGTTATAGACGAGAATCTGGGAAATTGATGCATCATAAAGGTAAATAAACTCTATTTATTCTATATAAATCAATGTAATAATAATTTTTATTACTAAAATGACAATTTGTATCTTATTTTCATTGCAGATACTATCAATTGCATTACGTTCACTCCAGAAGGCTCACATCTGTTCACATGCAGTAACGATGGAAGTATAACTGCTGTTCGCTGTGGCAATTGGCAGGTGGAGAAACTCTGGTCGACCGCACATAAAAGTTTAGTTGTCAATACCTTGGCTATTCATCCGACAGGAAAGCTAGCATTATCTACAGGAGTAGATGGCGTGCTTAGAACATGGAATCTGATCAAAGGCAGACAAGCTTATGCCATTAATTTAGTACCAAAACTGAAATCTAATGCCAAGTGGATAACTATTGTTAAATGGAGTCCGAGCGGTGAAAAATATCTGTTGGCTGTTAATGAACATATTTATGTTTATTCTGTAGAATCAGCCGGAATAGATAGGGAACTCACGTTTGACTCCAAGATTATATGCGTAGAATTCTTGAAAGATAATTTAATCGCGGTCGGTTTTGAGAATGGAAGTATCAAATTTTGTGATCTTAAAACCTCATTGCATACGATAGACACAAAAGCGCATGACATGAGAGTGAAATGTATCGCACATATGAACGATCTGTTAATTAGTGCCTCCAGTTCCGGCGAGATTAAACTTTGGAGATATAAGAAGCATAATTTGGATATGCTACAAACTGTTAATTGCGGCGCCCGAATTACTTGCCTCGCTTTGGCACAAACTTACAAAGATTTAGAGCAACAGAAAGAAGTTAAGTCGGAAGAAGAAGAGGAAATAAAAGAAAAAAGCAAGCTCAGATTGAAACAAGAAGTTATCATCGAAAATGAAGAGGACTTGGAAGTGACAAAAAATTCTAAAAAAAAGAAATCAAAAAATGAAAAGAAGAGAGCTATAGAAGATGCCGAGGATAATATTCGGCATACAAAGAAAAAAGCTCCAGAATTAAAAGAAACCGTTTTAAAAAAGAAGAGAGATGGATCATCAGATGTTGCTAAACCTAGAAAAAGGAAGAAATTGTCCAAAACGAATGAGACAAATCCTAGTAAAAAACGAAAAGACAGCAGTGCCGCGTCACAGATTACTACTCCATCAGCAAAGAAATTGAAAAAGTCAAGTAAAGTCGAGGAACCGCCTCTTTCTCGCAAAAAACATAAAATAAAATTACCGATGATGGACGTCGAAGATGCTCCACCTAGGAAAATAAAAAGAAAATGAATGTGGAGAAACGAGTGCCAAAGAAAAAAAAGAAGAAAGTAACAGGATAAATTAGGATTCAATTACAAGAGGAGTCTCTTTATAAAAGTTATTATTTTTTTTATCCGTGTGATATTTACATAATAATCTTAAGAATAAAAATAATGCCTAAGAGTGCTTAATAAATTATACACTAGTTCCTATAATTATAAATCAGTCTATTTACAATTTCTTAGACTTATCACTGCAACGTGTCTTCTTCTGTCACTAGATTAGGTCTGGACGAGATAACAGTTTCTGGGCGTCATTATAACGCGAGAAGAATCGTCTACCACAAGATGCATTTATGTGGTGGGTTCATTGGACTGCCGAGCGGGCACTTCCAGGCCTTTGCAAACTCTGCGTTGTTCGACAGCGTTCCAATAACTCGGAAGTGATTCGGCGCGTGCTCGCCTTCTATCACTTTGGATTTCAACGCTCCATTTGTGTAATTACCGCACCAGACCTTAGAAAAAAATTAATGATTCTGACTCATAAAATTCTACACGCCAACAAAAATTAGGAAATTTATTTTTGTGAGACTTCTCGTGAATTTAATTTTTACATATATAGATCTTATTACAAATAATTTTATATTAATCTGACAAGACAAACAGACATTTCGATGGATTCAACATTCTCTTGTAAATTTCGTCTATATGTATATATAGTTTTTATAATAATATATGTAAAATAAATCTTTTATGTAATTTTATGCAGGCTTAATATATAACATTAACTTTTATTGGCATTTAAATATACTCCATTTAGTACTATTAAATAAATTGTCTTCTTAAAAGAAAACTACTAGATTCTATCTCGAATTTAAAAATTTAAGAATTTATCGTAAAGCTAAAAAGCGCAAATAAGCAAAAGTAAGCTCACTTTTTTCTTTTTTCTTACCTGAGCGAAACCTAAGAAGAATAGTTGTTCGTTACTATAATCAACGAGACCAGGAAGAGCTTGCTGATACGGGTTGCGCGTAATCAGCCTCTGGTACGCCCTGTAAGCTTCCCTGATGCCGCCATTGTCGGCGATATTTTCACCTTGAGTGTTGATGCCGTTCACCTGAAAATTGAAGATTCAAACGATTGAGCGCGTGAGCGTGGGATGCCTTGGCACTAATTTTTTTTTTTTTAATATCTTCAAACTAACGCATTGTCACCGCGCTTGATACTCACCGTGAAATTATCACCCAGCTCTGGCAAATGATAACTGCTGTACTGCTCGATCATACACTGCACTTTCTCGTGATAGTGTCGCAACGTCTCGTCGCTCCACCACTGCCGGAGATTGCCGTTCTCGTCGTACCGGCGACCTGAACACAGAAAATCGTGTAATTCTAGATATTATTGCGGATATGCGGGCATTGTGGTGCTAAAGTGGCAAAAGTGACCATTTCAACGACATTGCTCAATGCGAGTCGCATCACCGATCACGCACCTTGGTCGTCGAAACCGTGCGTAAGCTCGTGGCCCATAATCGCCCCCATAGCGCCGTAATTGATGGACCTGCAATGCGTAATATTAGAGTTTATTAGAGCTATTTATGACCAAGATAATCCAAATTACTTCGTTTTCACGCATGAGTTCATATTTTTCCATTTTGAATTAAAATTTAGAAAACTTTAATAAATAAATTATGATCACTCGATATTTTTCATCATCGGATGAGATTTTATTCTTAATAAAAATTTTTGTGATTTTTTTATGTTTTAAAAATGTTACAAATTTTTCAGTGTAATACAACGTTAAATTATATAAGAATCTTATTGAACAATAAATAGAATGATTATTCATTAGCAAACAAAATATGAGTTATGTGCATGGACGTATCCAGGAGTTTTTTAAAGGTAAAAGAGTTTTATCAATTATATTAATACATAAACAATAATTTTTTGCGTTAATGAATTACTTTTTAAGAATTTAAATATCTCCACGTCCTGACTTTGAATGAGAAAATTAT